CGACAAAGTTTGTGGGCCCCACCCAGGCATCCAGGGCTTCTGAACAGAAATGAGTGCAGCCAAGCTGTGGAAAGCAGGTCAGAGAAGCCCGGGCTGGGGCTGCGTGGGTAGGGCTGACGGGAGCAGGCGGGAACTTCCGCTTCCTCCAGAACCAGAATTGTGTGGAAGTACAAGGGGTGCGGAGGAGCTGCCACGCAGCCATCGGCCGAGTGCACCTCGGAGAGACGACCCAGGGTCTGCGTGGTGGGCACGTGCACCCGGAAGCCCTCAAGCCCCAGGCTGGAGCCACCTGGAACTGTGGCCTCTACAGGAGGACTTACATGGAACTCGCTGGAGAAGTGCTGGCTCCTCCTGCACCTACCCAGGTGAGCCAACGGCACATCCAGGCCGGCCTCCAACTCAAGGGGACCTTCCTGCCTCAGCCTCCCGTGCGCTGGGATGACAGGCAGGCACCATCGCACCTAGCGAGGAGGATTTTTTTTTTTTCATTTTTATGTATTTGGCACAGGGTCTCACTTCGCAGCTCAGACTCGTGGTGATCCTCCTGTTTTCAGCCTCCTAGGCGTTGGGATTACAGGCTATTCCCCAGGCTAGGTGTGGCACTCACACGCATAATCCCAGCAGTACTCACACCCATAAATCCAGCAGTACTCACACCCATAATCCCAGCAATACTCACACCCATAATCCCAGCAGTACTCACACCCATAATCCCAGCACTGGATCATGAGTTAATCACAAAGTCTAGAAGTCTGCCCCATGACTGCATGAGGTTTTAGGGGGACACCTAGACACAAACTGTGACATCTGCTGTGGGCCTGGAGAGGAAGGAGCCGGGACAGGAGCATCACAGGAGTGGCCAGGACACACCCGACAGGGAGAGCTCACTGAGCACGATGGGTGGGCTTCGGGAACAGTGTTCTGAGAGGCTCCAAGGTGTAGAAATAATTAGCAAACAGGTACAAAGAAAACAAGGCAAGCGAAAGCGCAAAGTGATTGTTAGCTTCAGGAAAAGCAAAAAGTTAGAAAAGAAGACAAGCGGGACAAGCGGAAGGCCAGCTTCCAGGTGAGCCCGTTCCCCTGGCTTTCTGCAGGAGTGTGACCAAGGGTCATGCTCACTGGCTAGCACCGGGTGGCGCAGTCCTAGACATCTACTCGGGGGCCACGAATAGTCTTCTATTTCGTACAACCGTGTACTTCTCGGCAAACGGAGGTTTTGTTAGAGGAGGGAGGGCAGCTTGAGTGTCACTGTCCACTGTCAGTCACACACTCACGTTCGCCAGGAACACGTCACACCTAAGTGCGTACACTGAAAATAACACACACTTGAGATTTAAAGTTATAACATAATTACATGTACTGTCTATTAGCTCAAGTGTATCTCCTATATCTGCTACACACTGAATAACACCACACCAAAACACTGAAAGCAAAAACCAGGGCCAGCGGGAGATAGCTCAGCAGACTAAGAGCCTATTTAGGTAAATGCAAGGCCCGGGGTTTGATCCCGGGTACCACGTGCCATGCTGGCCTCGCCCCCTGGCACACTGAGCCACCGAGTCCAGGTGTGGTAGCGCACACCTATAATCCCAGCTCTGGAGAGGCTGAAAACAGGAGGATCACTGTGAGTCTGAGCTGCACAGTGCGACTCTGTACCAAATACTTTTTTATTTATTTATTTTTTCCGGAACCAGGGATTGAACGCAGGCCCTTGTGCTTGCCAGGGAAACCCTTATTCCACTGAGCCATCTCCCTGGCCCCTCCAATACATTTTTCAAAAATTAATGTTTGACCTAATATATATTTGATTGTGTAACTTTAAATTAAAAATATGTGTTATTTTCAAGCACCAGTTGAACAGTTATCCAACAGTGAAAATTTCACAACCTCAGAGGCTGTGCATACATAAATTCTCCATATCCTGCGCTGAACCGAGAAAGCTAATGACACTTGAAATAATAATGATAAAATGCAATGACTAGGAAGGCTGTGACCCTTCCTAAACAATTCTCTACTGCCTGCTGGCCCCACCCCGGGGCACACTGAGACAGCACTGAGACTGGGCGTGGCGGCATGCAACTGTAATCCCAATTCTTGGGCGGCTATAAACAGGAGAATCACTATGAGTTGGATCTGTTAGTGAGACCCTGAACACCCTGTAGATCCTTCCCTAAAAATACAGAAAAAAATATTTCTTTTCTAATGCAGGAAAACTAAGCCACACCTTCAAAAAATAAAGCCCACCCCCATAAAAAAGCCCTTATACACGAGAACCATGACTATGGTGGACGGTAGGAAGCCCTGACCACCTAATACCAACAAGAAATACAGAAGAGAGTTCTGCATCTTGCTCAACTTTGACAAAAAGAACAAAGTAAGCCCAGCACAAAAAGACATAATTAAAATTCAAGAAAATAAAATACATGGAAAAGAGTAGAACTGATAAATTCAAGCTTTCTGTGGCAAAACCCAAAAAACTCTTAAAGAGCCAGACTGCCCAAACCGATCCTCAGAAAGAAGAAAATTCAAATACATAAAATCGGCAATCATAGAGAGGAACTAGAAGGGCCAGGGCCCCAGGGGTGGGGCCGGCACGGCAGGCCCGGGGACCGAACCCCAGCCGCTGCGCTCTGCCTAAGTGGGTGCTTTAGTCCACTGAGCTACCTGGTCGGCTCCATAGATAGAATTAGTATTAAAATAATAATTTTTTGAAAGGAAATTATCCTAGGGGGGATAGCAGCATCATTCATTATAAAAATACGACAAAAAGAGAAAAAAATTCTCTCAAAAATGTCTTTATAAGATTCAACATTTAAATTTGGACACTTTAGATCCATGAGCTGTATTTACTTAACGTTATAAAGACTGTGTGTCCCTTGCAGTCCAGCTTGCTGCACCACAAGTGACAACAGCCAAGATGCAGAGCCAGCCTAGGTGCCCACATCAGATGACTAGTGCAGAACGCGTGGTCCCCGTGTGCCGCGGCGCACTGTTTGGCCACAGAGAACGGAAGTTTGTCGTTTGCAAGAAAAGATGGAGCTGGGGTGAGCCTGCTGGATGATTGAAACCAGACTCAGAATGGCAACTGTCGTGCTTAATACATAGAATTTTAAAAGATGATTTTAAAAAGTAGCGGGGAGACTGCTGCCAGACCAGAGGAAGGCCATCAGGGGTAGGGGTGGGAGGGTATATACTGGCAGGGCAGGGAGGGCATGGATAGGATTGAAATGTATTACGTACACATCACAACCTCCAAGAGAGAAAAATGTAGGACTAGCGGGGCAGGCAGGGCACTGAGGTGAGGGGCGCGAAGCGACTGAAGGATCAGGAGATGACGCTGCTCAGTGCTCGTGGGCATGCGCCAAAGGGCAGCCACCCGCCGCGTTACCAGCGTGCACCAGTAAGAAAGGTGTGAGAAGCTCACAGTCCTGCAACCAAAAGCCAGGACGCACGAGGAGCAGCGAGACCGCGGGCGGCCCTTGGGGTCAGGGCCTGACGCCCGCCGGGATGACTCTGCCCGGCAAGCACCGCCCCGCCCGACCCGTCGGCACAGAAGGGAGAGGAGCAGACACACTAAAAAGTGAGGGGTAAGAGGAGGAGTACGTGTAGAGGGCGCAGTCGTCCGCCCAGAGAACGCAGGAGCATGCACAGCAAAACCGTCGGAAAGAGGCAGAGTTCTGGAGGGAACCTGGATACAAGATGAATAAACAAAAATCAGTGTATCCTGTTCTCCCGAAAACTCCATTTAGAAAATGAAATGGATAAAATGATCTATAATATCAGCGAGAAAAACGAATAACATGTTATCTAGAAATGACCTCGAAGGCAGGAACCCCGAGAAGGCACTGACTGTTTTGCTAGTGAGAAGAGACCGGGTCCTGCCCGACTGGACCACTGCGGCACGACTCGGACACGGAAGGCGACTCCAGACACAGTCCCCCGGTAGCTTTTCCTTATCTGTCATGAAAGTGCTATAATGTTCACCTGGAACAGCAAGCGCGGAAAACGGATCATACAGAAGGGTGACAGGAGGGGCGCGCCTGCCTCGCCAGTGGAAATACAGCGCACGTGACAGCGCTAATGCACTTCCACCGTGCGGCGCCACTGCAGGAGGAGGCACTTGGAAGGCAATCGAGAGCTCAGAGAGAGACCTGAGTACTCAAAGCCTGGGCACACGACGGCCAAGGCCAGGCCCCGGAGGAAGCCAGAACTGGAGCCCACAGACTGCCACATGCGCCGGGCGCCAAGCGGGCCCTGCAGCCATCAGCCCCGGAGGGCAGGACTCCACCAACAGCCAACAGCCTCTTACTTTTGCCACCGTTCTTAGGTAGGTTCGGGCAGAGGAGGCCAAGCCAGCCCACAGATGCCTGGCCTCCCCGTGCCCAGAGCTTCGTCCCAGGCGGCCCGAGCCGAGGCCTCCTCCTCCTCACCAAGAAGCTTCGGGCTCCTCGGGCAGCCCTTCATTTCGGGCCCAGCCTGAATGCGCGGTGGTGGCTGCCCACCTTACCACACAAGCATGAGCTCACAGCCTTCGCTTGTGCTGGTCTTCACTTCAGTCCGCTGTGCTTATGCTGGGGGTTGCCAGTTCACACCAGTGCCGGAGGAAGAGAACAGGCAACAGCATCCAACACTGTGTTGGAACCAGCGTGAAGCCTTTGTGGGAGAAAGCTGCCCCAAACTATAAATAGGTGGTACTAAATATACTTCAAAGATTTAAGTGTAAAACCATGAACAGAAGAAAATATTAGCTGATTTGCACAATAGCCCTGCAAGGGAGGCAAGATGGATGGGCGTTTATGACCACTGCAAGGATGAGGAGATTTGGCTCCCAAGCCCGAGCCTGGGTCCTAGACCAAGGGCAAATGCAGTTGGTGGGCGGGAGTGGGGGGCAAGGATCACTCCCCTTCGTAACCCCTGAAAGGCCCTTGTACGATGACAGCTGTCCAGCACTCCCTGTCAGTTGCACGCCTGCCGGAAGTTTCCCTGGGCGGGCAGCTCACCTGTTGGGGCTGTAGCCCAGGCTGGCCAGCATGTGGGCCTGGTCCAGGTCTTGTGGGAAACCGTGTAGCACCCAGCCTCTTTGCACGCAGTCGGGCTGGTCCATGCGCTCCTTCAGCACCTTCAGGACCACGTTGTCAGGGACTGTGGAGGAAGGGGGATGTGTGAGTGCGCTGCCGGCCCTGCGCACCCCTCCTGGAGCACAGGCTGAGCTGTGGAGGTGGGCTTACGGGGAGCCTTTGGGGCCACCAGGATGAAGCTGTGGACCCCTATGTCCCATGCAAGAGAAATCCGGTTGCTGAAGATGAGAAATGAGTTGAGTGACCCACACCTCGACCCTGAGCAACGCCATCCCCTTGGACAGGCAGGGCGGCTCCCAAGCCTCCAGTGATACGGGAACAAGGAAGGCCCCCATCTGGGTCTGTTCTGGCAGCTCTAACGCAGCATCATAGGTGAGGGTCCTCTGTGGTGAAGAGCCTGAGAGGTCTCTCCAGGTCTGTGCACTCATCCTGTCCCCAATGCTCACCCCAATGCACCCTAAAGGCCCCACCTCCTCAACCACCATCTTAGGAGTTGGGGGGCAGCATGCTCATATCCCAGTGACCCTCAAGAATGTAGTCTCCACGGATGCACACGAGCCCCTTGCCCTGGAAGTTTTAGGTTTTCCCAAATGAGATCAAGCTGTTGCCCCTGCTGCCCTCTGCTACTTTGGACCCACAACACCCACCCCCCACGGCCCCCAGGTCTCCCCTTCTTGATCCCTAGAACCGAATCTCTCTTAAGAATCCCAGCTCCCCTCAAAACCGGAGGCTGCAATGAAGGAGAAGGCGATCCCGAGAAGCCTGCTGTTTGCATTGCTGGGACTGCATTTCCCTGACACACGCCTCTCTCCCGGCTCATTAAATGTCCCATGTTGCTAGTGTTCTGCGTCCCAGCAATTTGCACGGCTTTCCTGCACTTTGCGCTCACTTTTCCAGAAACACTTGGTAAATATTACCGCGTTGGCTGCGGGGCCCCAGGCGGTGCGGTGCTGCAGCGTTCCGCAGCTGTTCTGGAAGCTTCTGCGTGGTTTCCTCCCGACCACCGTGGGTCTGTCTGGTGGCCCAGCACACACGCGGGAAGCCCCTCAGCTCCCCAAGATTGACAACCAGGGGACACTGAGAGTAAGACTGAAAAACCTCACTCCTAGCTGCGTCCCAATGCCGCGAGGTGCCAGGCACATGAATGAGTTGCTAGAGATGATACCTTCTGTCCCTCCCCCTGCTTAAGACCTACAGTGGCTCCCCAGGAACTCCAGGGCTCCCCCTTGGACTCTGGCCACTCCGGCACTCAGGCAGGCTTTCTCCCTGGACGTCTCTGAGACTGCACCCGCACTTCCTGTCCTCTCGTTCCGGGTGTCTCTGGTCAGGAGACTTCTCTTTTTCATGCACAAATATGCTGAAACCAACTCCATGGATGCTGCAGTGTGTGTGTGGGAGGCCTGGGCGCCAGGCGCTCCCGATCAGGCCTCACTGGAGCCTGGCTGGCCTGCCTGCAGGCCTAAGCTGGCGATAGAGTCCACCGAGGGACTTGGAAACCTTGCCTAGCTATTGAGGCTATCATTCATTCCAGGATCTAAACCCAAAGTGCCTGCCCACAGGTAATGGGCTGCACTGCAGGGTGGATGTCAGGGGCAGGGCCACCACGCACGCCAGGCTTCTCTGGAGCTCCACGACTCCTAAAGCGACAGCCCCCGCATGGCCAGGACATGTTTAGCTTTTCCCACCTGACCCATGAGGGCCTGGGCTGTGGAGTGTCTCTAGTCAAGGAAACTATGTTTTCTGTCAGGATAAAAAAACCAGCGTAGACACTGAGGGGCAGAAGCTACCGTAGAACTTTCCAGTCTAGGTCTGCCTTAAATAGCTCAGGGTGCCCCATCTAAAAAAGAACCTGCTACAGAATATGCCTGCCCAGCACTTCATCCGGTGGGTAGCCTGGATAGGGACCGAGCCTGGCCCGGTATGTGACACGGGGGGGGGGGGGATAGGACACCTGCCTCGAGTACATGTTCTTGTGGGTGACAGACAGTACCCTGACGAACATGCCACAGAGCCAGAGGGTCACGTGTACCAGGGAGCAAGGGAACCGCAGCCACTGGGACCTTTGACCCTGTACCTCATTTCTAAGAATGTGCACCTCCAAGACCAAGACAGAGGTATGTGACGGTGTCAGGGTTGTTTCCAATGGTGACCCCTGGAATGGAAGCAGAATGCATGATGGGAGCATGGCGCACAGCCAGGACAGACCCTCCAGCCAAGGAGACCCAGGCAGCCTTTAGAGTTCTATGAAGGGCTTGCGCCTGCGACAGAATGGGGAAGCAGGTAAACACGTGACACGTAACTGGGCTTCCACCTGATATAAATGGTTAAATGCGCACAGGAGGCTGCCGCCACGTGGTGCCCTCATGCCAGAGCTGGTCCCTTTGCTTACGGAGGACAGGGCCCGTGCTCGAGAGGGCGCAGAACAAGCTCAGCCCAACCCTGGCTGGACAGGTGTAAGGATGCAGCAGGGCAGGGGGCTTCAAGGAGGGAAGATGGGACGCAAGTGACGACCCACAGGCTCCTCTCTGACCCCAGACCCAAGCGAGTCGCTGGCTTGGGGAGCAGGGAGATGCATACTCTTAAGCCCGTCACCCCCTAAGTCAGTCTTCCCACCCCTACCTGTGAAGGTGGGGTCTTCGTAGTGTTAGGTTTGCTGTTGAACTTCAGTACCACGAACGCTGGCCAGGTGGATAGATGGACAGATTGGACAGATGGGCAGATGGACAGATGGTGCCATTTCCAAAACCGAGAAGGCTCTCCAGGTCCTCCAAGGGTCGTGGGCCAGAGAACTAGGGCACTTTCCTCACCAAGCATGGACCTGGGTCCTGACAGATGGAACTAGACCCTTCCCTGACAGGCTGGTGAAAAGGAGCCCAGGAGAGCCACGAGGCCTCTGAGACTGGGGGACTGGTGCAATTGGGGTGGGTGTCAGGTGCAGCACATCCTCTGCTCCGACTGCCAGCTCAGCAAGAAGGTGGACTCTCTGGACAGCTGCGCTGCCCATTCTGCTGCAGGGTTAAAGTCCGCTTGATAATGTGTCCATTTACCCTTTATCTTCCTCCCAGAGCAGTTCTGCAGCGCCAGGCTAAAGCCTTTCACCATTAAGTCAGATGCCTCGGGCTTGATTTCTGGGCCTGACAGTTAACATCTCACCCTTCAGAGAGCCGCTGCCAGGGCTACCTCTTCGGAATGTCATGTCAACCCTGAATTCAGCCAAGTGCAAGATATGAGTATCCAATTATTTCATAAGGCCACAACACATGATTTTGACTTTTTTTTTTGTCAAGGTCTTCCATGAAAGATGGCATCCTTCAAGTTGACCTCAGGATTATTAAAACCTCAATGCCTTGGTTTCCTGCCAGGCTCAGTGTTCAGCATGGGGCCAGTGGAGTCATGGTTGTGGGTGGGACGTAACCCCAGGCCCCTGCCCACCACACCCAGGACCCTCGTGTCCCCTCCTGCCTCCAAGGTCCAGGCCTCACATCGAGCTCCATCCTGCACATCAGGACAAAGCGCCAGCCAAGCCTGGCCATCCACAAGATGGACCAGAGGGCTGACTCTGGGGGTGGGTGGGGGGCAGGTCTGCTGCGGTCCCGCTTCGACAGCTGAGGACGGGGGCCAGGGCTGCGGAGGGAGCACCCAGGCTGCTGGGAATTTGCACCAGCACCTGCAGCTCTCTCTGCGTGCTGGGCCCAGCTGCCACCTGCTGTCTGCACGCTGCACAGGTCTTGGGGACTGGGACATTTCGCCTATTCTTTAGTGTCCCTGGAGGTCAGGAGGGGCCTTATGGTTGCCAGGGGTGACTTGGAAAGATAAGACAGAGTACAGAGGGAGGAAAGGGCTCCCTCCCTGGCATGCCAGTGTGACTGCCTCAACCCCTCCTGGCAAACTGGGACAAATCAGGAGGTGTGCAGCTCACCATGTACCCTACGCCTGCCCACTCGCTCACAAGCCCACATAGGCATGCTGGGCACCACACTACACATCCTGCACACACACACACACACACACACACACACACACACACTCCACACTCATGAGCTCACCTGCAGATTCTGGTGCACACACAGGTGTCCCACCCGCATGCACGCCAGGCACAGCCTTGGGGCATGGACACACACTGGATCACACACACACACACACACACACCCCTACACACACAGCACCCACACAGCCACATCCTCCCACCAGTGTCACACGCAGAATTTCTGCCAGGCCCAGGTGATGTCAGGTCTATGGAAGCTGTTGGAACTTGCCCCTGAGCTCCTGCTGTCCCTGGAGGGATCCCCAGGGACCCAGATGATGTGGTCTGGGTGCTTAGAAAGGGACCAGGACTGCAGAGAAGATTGCTTTCATTTGCATTCCATGTATCCTGAGGCTTGAGGGAAAAATGGTCACACACACACCCACCCCAAAATCTCTCCCCCAGGATCCTCAAAGCCTTGCTGGAGACCTAGGGCAGGTGGGCCCCTTGGGGGCACCTCTTAGTATCATGGGCAGGCAGTGAATACTAAATTAACTATTTCTGGGAGAGTATCGCTCTCTGGAGGGGACAGGCTCCTGGCAGCTGGGCCTGCAAGCTCTGCAGGACTGTAACCAGAAATCTGCATCTGAGAAGGACCTGGCCCAGGTGTTTCCGCAGAGGTACTGTTTGTTTATTACGCACTGCCACCTGCTGGCAGATTGTGGCTACTGCACCCGAGAGAGCTTTTGCAACCAGACGATGGGGAGAAACCAGGACTGTTCCCTGCAGGGAGCGAACGCTGGTGGGCTCCAGCCAGCTTCTGGGTAAACAAGTCACTTCCCCAAGCAAGCAGCTCTCTGGCTGGGCTTAGCTTTCCCAGCTACAAGATTACACAGATGTCTTCTAAGGCTCCCATAGGTTCTGAAAGCCCACACTCTTAACAGCTACGTGGCTTAATGACGTTCACAACTGCTTAAAGACAGCCGTACCAGAGAATAACAGTGTTTTCGTCTTGGCTTTTTCAAGTCCAGACAAGTACATTAGCCTGGGACGCGGGCAGTTACTGGGCGCTCTGTGGCACGCACGCCTCAGAGGGGCAG